TCTTATATACTCGGCAAAAGTCCGGTTAGCCCACAGTGTTGAGCGTCGCCTATACCCCCAAAGAACCCCAGAGAAGAATGCGTAACACACAAGCACGCACACACAGAAACACACACACACACACGCACACACACACACACAAACACACACACACACACACAAACACACACACACACACACCACACACGCACGCACACGCACGCACGCACGCACGCACACACACACACACACGCACGCACACGCACACACGCACGCAAGCACGCACTTTGCTTTGTCATTGCGCACAAGTGCCGAGGAAGTGACAGGCGCCACGTTCCTTCCCATATCTTTCTTCTCCTTTTCACAGCATTGTTTTGTCGTATTATTAGCGGTTTCGTTACCCTGGTGCATTTTTTATAAAGCGCTCTGAAATTTTGCTGCATTTTAGTTTTTTTGTGTGTGTGTGCTCCCTATCTTGCTTCGACCGGAGACAGACTATGGTTTCGTAGAGCGGGCCGTTCGTCTTGTGCATAGATGTTTGGTTCGGGTGCATTTCTCTGCGGCGTGCCCGACAGCCCGAGTCGAGACCCTTTGACTCTGGCCCCGAGTTTCGCGCCGCAGCGTTCACCGGGCCGGAAGGCGCTGATAAATACAGGACACAAACGAGACCACGGAGCGAGAAAATAGAAAGTGGCACCCACGTGCAATCGTGCGTCGGGTGAATGCTGTGTGCACGGTTCGAGCAGAGAACGGCGCTCCGAAATGCAGTGCGAAATTGTATGAAATGGTTATGCAGCCTTCAACAAAAGTACAAATGTCACCTCTCTCGTCGCTGAATCAAGCACATCGCAAGCGCACCGGTGTGCTGCCGGGATCGACAGCCTTCGCGTGCTTTGAAAGTGGGCGTAAAAAGGCACATCAAAAAGCACCACTCAGTATCTCTAGGCTGGTGACGCATCGGTCCAGATTATACTCGCTTCGCTGATCGGTTAAGAAAAACCATTTTATTATTCCTCTTTAAATATGATTGGGTGGCTCTATGGCCTTTCATCGCGCTGCTAGCACGAGGTTGTGTGCTTGGTTTCCGGTCACGGCGGCCACAATTCCGTGAAAACGAACTGCAAGAAAACTGTTGTGCGTGCATTCACGTGTACACCAGTTGGGGAAAATTATTCCGGAGTCCCCCGCTCTGCAGCGTTGCCGTAATAGCAACAATATCTTCATACTTAAAGCCCGACAATTAAAAGGAGTTTTGAAACGGCAAGTTACACCTGGAAGGAGCAAACGCGAGCCGAAGATTCTTTTATATTACGCACAAAAACCTTAGTGCAGCCACGTATTTCAGTGTATTCTTCTGGAGGCACCATTTGTGACCTGAAGAACGTGCGATTGACTCCCGACTTCGGCGGCTGCTTCTTCGATGAATGCTTGAAGTCCGTGTGCACAACCGGTGAAGGGGGGGTCAAAATTTCCTGATCTTTCTATTATGGTATCCCTCATAACCATATTCTTGTTAAGGCGCGTACAAAAGCACGACTATTATTAGTCTTTTCGTGTATGTGTTTTCTTATATTTTTGTTTTAGCACACGAAAATCACTTGAAACCTTCTAAGTCGAGTATTTTGCAGAACGAAGATTTGTGCAAGTTGGTTTAAATTTATGTCCAAAAAACGGTGCAACTACACGAGGACGTTTATTAGATTGAACACATTTTTATACAAAATGAAACTTGCCCACCAACGTCGTACACTATAACAAAAGTGGTACCAGACGTCCACGCCGCATGATGTCTTAGCAATGCGCTCGAAAAAAAAACTAATCTCCCCGCCACGATGGTCTAGTGGCTAAGGTACTCGGCTGCTGACCCGCAGGTCACGAGATAAAATCCCGGCTGCAGCGGCTGCATTTTCGATGGAGGCTAAAATGCTGTAGGCCCTTGTGGGTGCACGTTAAAGAACTCCAGGTGGTCGAAATTTCCGGAGTTCTCCACTACGGCATCTCTCATAATGATATGGTGGTTTTGGGACGTTAAACCTCCCATATCAATCAATCATCAAATCAAAACCTAATCACTAAACGAAGCCTAACGATTGTCCCGTTGTTTCTTTCTTCTTCGTCCTTATGTAGTTGCGGCGTCTTACAGACTAACGAGTATTCTGCATCTTTTCGCGTTCGATACAATCATTCTCTTCCGATTAACAATCGACCCTACCCAAGTACATACGCTGTTCAAACAAATATAAGTTTTTATGATGAACTCGTGGAAAAGTTCAGTTTACGTCCTGACTTGTATTTCATTCTCGCGTTTCTCTCGTTGGTGGAGACTCCTCTATTTTCTAAAAAAATGATTGGTCTGAGGTGACAGCAGCATAATGCACTAATAAAGTATTCTTTATTACAGTGTCCTCTGAAGCGGCTATACCGCACGAATCATATTTATAGCGTATTTTTTCTTGTGGTGTCACCTCACTTCGATGCCTCTAATGGCGCCACTAAACCGTTCCTCATAATCAGTGCCAAAATATTCAAGAAGCTCTCAATCGTGAAAACGGATGCTCCATTGCTCAGATATGCGCCACAAAACCGGAACTGTCACCACCCGTTCGGATATGAATGCGCCGGCACTCGGAAACGCACGAAATACGTGCGGAAGACGAACACGGCATACCTATCACAAAGAGAGACAGACGGGGATGCTCCGAATCTGCTCATATAGTGTCATTCATCTAAGCACAAGTGCCAGTATAAGCTTCGTGTACAAACTCATAGCTTATTTAGAAATTAGATAATCTTCATAGGAACCTCACAAAAGCACTGTAAATTAGTTCTTGACGCCGCTTCCATTCACAAGAAGACGTCTCGTCATCGTTTATGCCATTATAGCAACAACAACACGGAGTCATCTTGCAACGCCGACAAAACTACGAGCTTCATTCTTTATCGAATGGTTATCTCTGAAAAAGACGCCCGCCCTCGACAGGACGTCACCCTCACCGTCGTGTTTCTGGATGTTCGTATTGGCTGACGGGCTCAGTTTGTTATCGCGTTGAAGTCTTTTTATTTAGCATCCCTGCCTATACAGAGCGCGGTACACGGTGGGTTACGTACTTTTATTTTAACGTATTTTAACGGCTCCATGTGATCACTGTCTCAAAGCGCAGTACTGTTCTATATACCAAGCTTGAGAACTTCCAAGGGCGTGTTGCAATTTGTGATATGGGACCACTGTTACTTGTTTATTGAGATCTACATTGGTATAATCATGGCGTTTTTATAGTTTTGGGTGTGATATCTTAGAGCAGAATTAATTACTGTAGCATAGATGATTTTTGCGTCAGTTTATGTAAATCAAAACAGAGCGGGATGTTTTTTCTGTTTTTTTCCTCATTAAATTTACTTCCACTATAAACAGCTGAAGAAACAACATATTGTAGCCTATACTACCGTATCCTACTGATATCTGAGAACCGCCCATTACAAGCGTCCTCTTTCTTCATTCGAATGGCGATGAACACAAACTTTGGCCCAGCCAAAGTTTGTGTTCATATAGTTTACAATTGTTCTGAAATAATTTTACTATATTTGGTGCACAGTTTCAGACTGTCGAAATCGAATGAAACAGCAATGTCTTTTCATAGCCGTAAGGCCAAAAGATGCGATATGCGTTGTAAAATTATTGAAACCCTGAATGTAACATTGCCGCATTACAAGTATGTTATGCAAAAAAAGCTTATAAAATGTATTGCGAAAAGGTGTATTTTTATGCAGTAAAGCAGAGCAGATGTGGCTGTTGAGCTGAAGCGGGGTTAATTAGTGATAGCTGTGGGGTGCTTTCGTTCAGCGGTAAATATAAAGAGGAAGAAGTATAACAAATTTGTTATAATGGCTGTGGTGGCTGTAACTGTGAATTACGTAAATTATGAGGAGCAAACACGAGAATGTCTCGCGAAGGTGTTCCTTTGCACTGTTAATGTGCAGCACTCTTCACCATGTGTGTTTCACCGCACTTGCATATGGATTTCTTTCCGCTAACACATCTGAAACGCAGTGATTGCTAGATACCAATTATAAAAAAAATCACTACAAAGCTTGCATGACAACTTTTGCGATCTGTGGCTATAGTCAGGTGATGCAATTTTCCAAGAATGTACCCAATGTTTCGCACGGCGACTAGCTAGTTTAACTACTTCCGATAAAAAAATAATTCGCGTGACTTCATTGCTGCCACGTTCCTCACCGAGTTCGAAGTACCAGATCATCTTGTCATGCAGGAGATGTGTTAGTGACCAGCAGACCTTGGAAATTGTTCAAGCGCCGCATTCACTTTTTTTCGAGCACCAGACTAAAATGTTCAACAAAATTGCAATCTTAGGGCGAGTTCATTTACTTTATTTCTAACATGTGGTGCTCAATAAGAGGACGCAACGTTTACTATGCGAAAAAAATAGTGGAAACTGATCGAGGACGGCTCGTTTCTTTGATGGACACAACCTGACGAATCCAACAGACAATGAAGACAAGTAAAGCGTAGGAGACATTATTTTTAGTGCATCACTCATGGCATAAATTGTAATGAATTAATCACCATGGGAGGGAACTCAACGTACTATTTGTGGTGACCTTTGAAGTACGCGTCCGGTGCCCCACGAATTCAGCTGCAATGGTGGTCGTTTCTCCTTGCACATGATTGGGCAACGTTTAAGATTGTGACGCATTCTACACCACTTGCTGCATTAGGACCACGTTTGAATAGAAATGTAGTACGAAAGCACTGGCATATCAAATTTCACTCAGTATTGATAATGAGCCGCAAAGGACACTTGACAGCCCTGTTACTTCGTCCATCAAAACCGAGGATGTCAGTAGTAGAGGCTGTACATATGCTGAAGCTCTATTTTTGAAGATCTCTATTGCTTCAAGTATCGCTGAGTTTATCCCTCTTGTTCCGCATATACTTTCGCGTAGCCAAGTTTCTTTTACGAGTGACTCACTTTCTATATCTTTGTTGGCTTGCAATGCAGGGTCCTATGCCACCAGTACCACCGGAAGAACCACTAGACTCATAAGATAGCGTTCTACAGAAGCTTCTGGCGGCATCCATCAGGAGCATTCTCGGTAAGCCCGGAGAACTTAGCTGCGTTCTTAAACTTGTACTTTGTGCACCTATGCACATGTGCATCGTTCCTACAGCTATGGACATAATGTTTCACAAATAATTCTACCTCAATAGTAATCAGTGAGTGAGTGAGTGAGTGAGTGAGTGAGTGAGTGAATGAGTGAATGAGTTGATCTCTTGCGTATTTAATAACGAGTGCATATTTCACACCACCAATAATATGCCGTGAAGTTGAGACAAACACGTACTGTGATGCGAGGAATAGATTACGCCGCCATACCAGAAAGTAAAGAAGGTGATCAATTAGGTTTCTGCAACTAAGGCAACCGCACAATAATGCAGACACGTGCAGAGAGCTCAGACGTTCTGTTCTGCTTCTTTCCAAGCTACCAGCATGGCCTTTAAATATAAATACACGGAAAGAATTTTTTAAAAGCCCCCGTACAAACACCACAATTATCAGTGAAAGCCTTCTCGTGCCCTTGTTCCTCAATACCGATACAAATACATCTTAACAAGTCCTCTGCGCCAAAGGGCTTTACAGCCACCGGGATTCTTTGTGGTGCCCTGCGTCGCTCTTCTTGTATAACGATGATACCCGTACAGAGCCTGCCCTTATAATGAAGCTTACTCGCTGCGAGGTCCGGCTGAATTTGGAACTACCACACTACTTTTGCGTGGATAGATACTACTTGTCTCATAACATCACGTATACATCTTATCAGGGTGAAATCAATAGACAAAACTTCATATGAAGAAACAGATAATGAAGCCAAGTAAAACACATGGTAAGTAATTTTAGTTTTTTTTTAGTTGAAGCTTTCTCACTACCAGATGAAGGAAAATCAAAGTGAGCAAAGAAAACAAGGTGCCGCCGGGAAGAACCGAAATCTTAAACATTGCAGGTGCGGTGCACTATCAGCTGTATCGCTGTCACTATTTCAGCGTCTGCTTTATCGAGTACATGTGTTTATGTACACGTCAATGTATGCATGTACACATGCGTAGGTACGCAGAAATTGTGGAGCTCACTCGGACTCACTCATGAAATATAATTTGCGCTTAGAGATCGCTTGGACTCCGACTCGCCAAACTTCCAGAGCCGGACTCACGCTCACAAAAATGTTTTTTCAACCGGACTCAAGCTCACCAAAATATTACTCACCCGGACTCACAGCTCCATCCGCGTCCGAGTGAGTCAAATGATGAGTGAGTTCACCGTATGCATCTATGTCTATACGTGTACTAACCCGGGGGGTGTTAGTAAGCGTCACTCGTGGCTGTGCCAGTGAATGTGGCACATTCTCTTTCGCCCAACGACTTCATGCTGTGCGTGAAAATTAGGAGCAAGCAGCTAACCAATTACATTTCTTTTCAGAAAAGCAATGTGTACATACTCGCCACGACTGATAAGACACTATCAAATGTCCGTTCCTGGAAGCATCAGAGCCTTATTTTTCTAGTTCAATCGAAAGGTGTCATCGCGTAGGTACTTATGAATTGTTATGCAATACTTATGAATCAAGGCTGGCTTCGCCACCATATGCCTGGTGAGCGCGCAAGTGCCAAATCTTCGCGTGCGCCAGTCTCAGCCGTCAGCGAATCGACGTGTAGAGCGTTTATTTTGTTTATTTTCGTCAGCAGATGTCATCGCCCGACGTCGTTGCCTGGGAGTACGGCCGCCGGGACTGCGTCATTGGGCCGCGGGACGTCGGTGGCAGCCGCCTGCAGCCTCGGAGAAGAAGAAGCGTGCAGCGATCCGCAGACTCGCTCTCCCCACCCCCAGTCCCACACTGCTATTTACGGGTTCTTTTTTGCTGCAAGTTTTGCTCTCATCGCAGCCCCAGCGCCTACGGCGCGCACTCGTGCATACGCACACACACAAGTACACACACATACAAAAACGCCATTCAGGCGCTAGTTGACGCGCTATCTTCGACCGACCCCCGATGACAGCGAGGCCGAGCGCGGAGGTGTGCCCTACACCGATGACCTGCCCACCTCTCCACCTTGTTCTTTTTATCTTGTTTTGTTTTTATGTTCAGACGTTTTTTTATAAAATATTCGCGAGAGGGAAGGAGAAATGATGGGCTGAAGGCTGGTGCCAAGAAGGTCTTGTAAATTCGAAGTGGCAGCTTCCCGTGGACGCCCAGGAGTTCGCGGCTGCTTGTTCGTCTAGGCTGATGGAATCACTACAAAGCAAAGCATTTCTTGACTCTCTGACGTCGCCTTTGGAAACTTTGTTTTATTATTATCACTTCCGGACGTCAGCGCCGACGTTCTTCGAAGACGCTGTTCATAAAGATGCGGTGACCTGGAGCTGGTGCGCTACTAAAGATGCGCACGTCAAAGTAAAGCAGTGACGTTAACATGCAGAGACGTGTGCAAGAGTCCGCAGCAGTATACACCGCGTCCTCCCGCATTATGCCACAGCATATGTCGAAGACGTGTTCGTCTTTTCCCCGACAAATCAGATGCATCGATATTGGACAGACGCGGGAAGTTCCGCCCAAACCCAAGTTCAACGTGAAGGCACGCATCAGATTGATGATTGATATGTGGGATTTAACGTCCCAAAACCACCATATGATTATGAGAGACGCCGTAGTGGAGGGCTCCGGAAATTTCGACGACCTGGGGTTTTTTAACCAGCACCCAAATCTGAGCACACGGGCCAACGACATTTCCGCCTGCATCGGAAATGCAGCCGCCGCAGCCGGGATTCGAACCCGCGACCTTCGGGTCAGCAGCCGAGTACCTTAGCCACTAGACCACCCCAGTGGGGCGCAAGTGAGATGTAAATGCATGTAGTCGCAAGGCACGGCAAGGATCTCCAACTTGCGCAAGCTGGAACTGCCCATGAGGCACCGCTCAGCAAGACACCTGTCGCGCCTTTTTCTTGGCCAGCGAGCGTGGCGACGTCCCTCCGTTATGCCCATATGCGGTACTGATCAGCCCATCATTACGTAGTGATGCACACTGGCTCTCCCTCCCTCTCTGATGTCTATCATTGTAAATGTCATCACCTCACCGGCACCACGTGACTCGTCTGCTACCGCTGTAGAGTAGAAGCAAGGAGAGGTAGCTAAGAGTGTACATTTATTTCTCGCTATCTTCTCCTTCCGCCCTCTTTCCTTTTTGCGTTTGTAACGAGTATAAGTCGAGGTCCTGTCGTTATCGCTGTTCTTTCACAACAGCGGCCTACTCAGTGTTTTTTTGTCAGTTGTACAAGTGACGTCTCCCAACGGCGAGCAGGTCTTTCATTTAAAAAGTACATGGCAGTATATCAAAAGCGTGCGTGGCTCTTTGCGCGAACAAATGCTTTCTTTTAAAATTTTCGGCCAGAAGAGGCGGGAGAACCACCAAGTTTCTTTGGAAACCGGGTTGGTCTCTCAGGTATGCCGGCAGATTAATGTCGCATTCTCTCAAGCGAAAAAAAGGAGAAAGAAATAAATAAAACAGAAGCGGAATTAAAGAAAAGGATTGAGGTAAAAGCGTGCAGTAGACCTTACCTGACCGAAGGCGGTCATGTGCGAGTCACTTGCTCACAATTGTGAGAAAATACCCGAAAACTTTTTGGGCAGCCTTTTCGGTAAGCCACTGCAAAAAAGGCGAGGCTAGTATCTTAAGTAATTAAACACACAGGAACAGGCTCAAGTCGCAAAAAATACAGGCCATGATAACCTTGGCGGACCCCACAATTTAAAGGTCACGTTTGAGATCCGCAATATGCTCATTTTCACAGTTTGGAAGTAGAAAAGAGAGAGAGAGAAAAGAAGGCAACGACGACAAAGACTTGTGGAAGGATCCGTGGCGTTGCTGCTGCTGCTGCATCATAACGGTACTTGCTCTTTATTATGTGTCCATGCGCAGTCAAACGAAACAGTGAAGACACAGCGCGAACATCTGAGCGGTGAAAGTCAGTCGTCATGCGTCGTGGGCGTGTATAGAAACGAGAAGGTGCGCAATACTTACTTTTCTCTGCTCGCAGAAAGAATGCGACGGCGGGCGTCCAGACGTTGTCACTATGTATCGACTTGATGTTTGTATGCGTCAATGACGCGTATACCAGCGACAAAGCGCCGAGAGGGACCGTGTTTACTCTCCCCACCTCCTTCCTCACGAAGTCACCCAATCTGAGCGGCTGAAGCGGTGCCATTCCGGTGAATCTATTTCAAAAAAGCCATATTTGCACTAAAGGAGGCGTTGTTTGCAACAAGCTAACGGGACTTCTGCAGTGGAGGTGACTTGCAAATAGAGAAGGCGCAAGAACAGTCTTGCCGCTGGCATTAAAGCGGTGACGTACTCGGCGTGGCCACATCGGAAAGGTTCAGTTCGTGGTCATACGACAAGTTTATCTGACCGACTAGTGTCCTGGTGACAAATCAACTTTAAGACGAATTGGGTCTTCGACCAATATTCGCCGATATCTAACGATGTGTGAGAGCTTTAGCAGCTCGTCAGGAAATTTCTGTATCGCTTCTCTCACCTAGAACACTCGTCTCCACGTTGCGGAAGAGAAAGGGCACTCGGGCTGCGCACGTGCTGCCCACCAGCTTGCCTGTTTTTTTTCATATTTCATATTTTTCAATGCTTCATTTGACCTCGCATAGGTGGCTGACCCTCCAGAAGTTTCTATTCAGACCTCTCAAGTGTGTCACAATACTACCGAAAAACAGCGCCGCACGCGACAGGAACCGGCGTCATACAGTTCTCTGGAGCAGAAGTGCCTTCTCACGCCGTGATGGTGTAGGACAAAACTTCTATCGGCGAGGCGCTCGTGTGCAGCTGCGAGGTACCGCGGTCCCCTCTCAAGGGCGCACTCCGTTCCAACTCAGTACCCCCGGTTGAGCTATGAAAAGAGACTTCGAAATGAATCTCACAGAAACCCTGCTGCGTCAAAAGAAGCGAAATTAAACGAAAGTTGAGGTGTGGCCCTATATTCTGATGCGAGCTCTAACTGTATGTGAAGGGACGCCATGGATCAACGACTATCGAGAAAAGGTAATCACTAACTGCCGAAGAAAGAATCGTGTCTGGTTCTTGTTGATGAAAATTAAACTGTGAAAACATTTTATGCAAGTGTGCACAAATTATTTGAACGAAAATAAGCGAAAAAAAAAAACACTTCAAACGACACTGTCACGGCGTCACAATTGTCACGCAACGGGGAGATTCCGGCTTAGGCTGTAATTCTATTCTAAACGCCTCTGTTAATTGAGCATTAATTATGCCACAATTTCGCATAAATGACGCCTAAAATTGCATGGTATTTTCAACAATGCAGTATACATGTTTCACTCATGCAAGTTGCGCATTCGTTCCCACTGAAGCGAGAATCGCGGAAGTGTAAGTTTGTTAGTACACATGTGGTATGCATACACAAAACCAAGCACGGTGCATTCGCGCTGTTTACTCCAGTGGCCGCGGGCGCCTTTCCTTGCTCAAGTCCGCGTAAGCACTTCTGCACGTTCGGAACGTGTGCGTTGGAACTTAGGAAAGTGGCAGCCGCAACTGCCGCCGCCAAACAAGAACTCACTGTAGCATACATCCAACGGTTGGTTCCTTCGCGTGCAGTGCATTTGGATGAGCACGATGTGTTCGATGTACTTTGGCACCACTCACGCCGTTTAGCATCAGGTGACTCCGTAGTCTGTCCTTGTGCTGTTTGGTCCCACTCTCTCTCCTTTACTAGTGTTCACTAAGTGTGTTCGTGTAAACTCAGGAGGCAAAGTTGGAAGCTAAGTTATTGTTTGACGTCGCATTCGTATTCATAGTGTGAAATAAAATAATTTTTACTCTTTACGTGTTTATCTCTGTGCCGTCCAAGCCGGACTGCTCGCGCACCTGGAAAATAACGCGTCCATGCAGCACACACCTTTATGAGATTTTGGGGTTACTTTTCCCATCACATTGCACTATTTCTTGCGTCGTACGCATATGGATTACTTACACCAGTAATCGTATTCGAGCATAAAGCTTGATCAAAATATGCCTAGAAAATCAGCACTAGAGACTTTGTCAAATGTTTTCAAGGGACTAAAATGACCAATCGTAACCCGGAAAACACCGCCCAACATGTCTCTGTCAGAATCTGCATTGCAGATGAAGTCGCTTGCAGAAAAAATGTAAGGGTGCTCCAGTAGTGTCGTTCATGTGGTGATGGCACCCAATCACATCTAAATTGATCGATGGCCCTCGGTATCTCACAAGGCTATCGCGGCCTTGAACTCCACTCGTCGAAACGCCGGCTGCAGCAACCAACTTCTGTTTTCGAATTTCTATCTCCATGCAATGAAGAACAGGGTTATTCTAGATGCGCTCACCGTCCACTAACAAGAGCGATTGCAGCACCGCTTCTCAGCGTGTGCCCTTTTTATTACTTAGTTATACGCATAAAAATAAAGAAAGATAGTATATATACTGTAACACTAAGTATGATCTGGCTCGACATACCGCTTTTATATATATACTTCCACTTTAAGTTATAACTTCTACCTAAATATTTTGACGATGTTATGATATTTTATAATCTTTTTATTTCCAAAATCTCACCGCACATGATGGGTGGTTGTCAGATTCTCTCTGCTAAATGTATAACTTCGGACAATTATTATTATCCCACCTTGTTGTATTGGTAGTCACGAATTTTCGTATATACTGCCGCACTTGGTGACGGAATGCGGTTGCCTTTCACGCTCATCTTCGTAAGCAAAGCAAATGAGACCTTGAAAATTGAGACATGTGCGTATATAGTACAGAATAGCTCTGACTTCTGGTGCAGTGCGTGTGTGAGAGAGAATAAAATCACGGTAAATAAATTTCGACGAAATGGCTTGACGGAGAAGCGAATCTCAGTCCTGCTACTTCGCGACGAAGCAAAGAAAGCCTAGGTAAGTGAATATAACTGATAATGGGAAAATATTAAAAGCGAAAACATGTGTTACTCGAACTTAAAATAGAATAAGGAGCTTTTACGGCCCAGAACCATTATATGATACGAGGCAGAACCTATGGCGTCCAAACCGGATTTTGGCCACTTGCATGTGGTCAACATCCGGTTTGCCATACAAACGCCATCCGGACGTTAATTCAAGAGCACGCTGGAGTTCTTCAAAGCGCATTTCAAGTTAAACATACGGAAACGTGTTTTTTTTCTTTTTTTTTTTGCTATTTCGTCCACATTGAAATGTGGTCACCACAGCTGGTGCCTCCGAACTTGGGGTACGCAAATATTCAGATCTTTCGAATAACAAATCAACAGTGTTCGTTTGACTTCGAACTCGAATCGAATGTTGCAGATTAGAAATACCGAGTATTTTTCGACTACCCTTCGAATAACAAGCACTGATAGAATCCCGAAAGAAGCAAAACGTAGGGACATAGAGCGGTTACATTTCTTGTTGGGATCATTGGATCACCAAGATGGATACTATCGACGCTAGTCTGATCGCAAAATGAAGGCGTTTTTGCTTAAAACTCAGTTGTCGACGAAGTCGCAGAGTCATCGCTTTTTTATCTTTATAATGGCATTCATGATGACGTTTACTCATGAATAGGGAGTTTTAGAAAAGCGCACCGCGAGTCGTTGCGGTGCGGTCGCTGCTACTGCGCATGCGTCGTAACGCGAGTCGGCGTTCGCGTTCCTGGACCGCACGCGAAAAATCTCAAAGTGCGTGCGGTGATGGTGGCCTGCATGGGGCCCGCAAGCGCTGCTTTCGAGGCTACGGTGTCGCTGCGATCGTGCGTTGCGGATCGCAGCAGGGCAAACGCTACTCTAAAGTTCATATGGCGCCCGCTACGCCCGCAGCGCTTGCAAACGGTATTCTGAAATTCCCTAATATTGTCTAACAACTATATTCTAGTTTAATTTATTCTGTTGACAAAGTCCCAGCTTGAATACTTTAGCCGCTGCTCTATTTTAAACCGCAGTTACAAAATGTTTGGAAGGTTCTAGTTACTGCTGTATACGAGCTTGCCTATTTTCACAAGGGCCATAGGCGTACGCAGGGCTTCTAGGGAGGCGGGAGGTGGAGGTTTGTCGTAATACCCCTTACTCTATTATGTCAATATATGAGGCTGGCTAGCGCCCCCCCCCCCCTCTTAGCTGACCAGAGAGGGCGGCTACCCCCAGCCTTCCCCCATGAACACGTCTAGAAGTGTGGTGATTTTTATTAATTAAGAGTAGTCGTATTGTTTTTTAATTAAAGCATAGAATACTTGTTTCTAATAATATGTTGTGTAGTTCTCTGGTGGTTTTGAAAATGGTTACATTATCATTCTAGGATGACTTTGAAAATGCTTGCCTAATATTCGAAAATTATTCGAATAGTATCAGATTTTTATTCGTATTTGACTCGGTATAATCGCTATTCAATTCGTATTTGCTTCATTTCTAAACTTCTCTATGTGCACACCCGTACTGCTAACTCATCATTTCAATTTAATCGGTGCCTAAATTTATGTGTACAATGAACTGGTATCATACAGTGCGATACCAGCGAATCGATTCAGTGAGAAAGCTCGCGGGCTACAGGGCGAATTGGAAGAAAGTTCCACTTGACTTCGCTAAAGAGTTCGAGAAAAAGATACCTAAAAAGCGTGTTCACTGCCCTAATGTGTTCAACAAAAGAATTCGGCAGATACCAAGTACCTGCAACAAATAAAACAAATAAATAAAAACGATGCGTCTTGGACATTTTTAATGTGCAACGACATTGGCGACGCTACTCGTCACACTAATGTTATGAGACTCCGAGAAGTAGGCAGGGCCCCCTCCTCCCACTTGTAGCTGGAGTTGTATTGTGCCCTGGTGGTTTTGGGACGTTAAACCATACATTTCGATCAAGTTATATTGTGCACTGTGTTGTGGAAACAAGACGCCTTTGCAGAGAACATGACTCGATATATTCAGGCATTACGCTCACTCATCCTATCGCATCAATTCATCGCTTTGAGGCTAACTTTTTGACATACCGTAAGCTCAAATCAGCCAGCCCCCGCCCCACCAGGGTTTATTCTTTTTAAGACAGCCTAGTGTACGGCGACAATACGCGACTACTTAAGCGAGTTGCCTTGCGCACATTCACTGAAGAAGCGTACAGTCGTGCGCGATTTGAAGGTTATCGCGCGATCATCGACCAAGAATAAGAGGGCCAAGTTCCAGTACTATTTTGAGGAGAGGGTGATACGGTGAAAGCTTCGGTCACTCTAAGCTGTTCCTTGAACTGCGATCACTACCGTCTGAAGAAACGGTTTAAACCAAGCAGTGCCAGGCTACAGCTTTAACACATATTTCCCGCTAATTTTGTAATCACCCACGGAGATAAGAGCCCACTAAGAGTACACTTGATCGCTAAGAATGGAAGGCTCATAAAAAAGTCACAGCTTTGCCGCAAAGGCGAAGCAATGAACGCGATTGCAACAAATTGCAAGATCACACGCAGATTTGCAAGAAGATCGAAACGTGCCCCGCGTTTCTCACTCACAAATGACGCATGAAACGTACTCACAGGTACAGATGAACGCGAATGCGCGTCTCGGTGGTTACTTCACTGTGTCTGAAAAGCGTGCCCTTTTCGCGAAAAGGAAACTGCGCAACTATTGCAGTGACCTTTGCGCCCCCGGTAACTACAACAGAATCAGTTATACATACAACAGTTATACCATACACTTATACCATGCAACAGAATCGTTCCAGTGAAAGCCCAACGGCAGCCAAGACGTACGATCAGAGTCCTTTGTTACGATCCTCCGCACCGCGACATAAGGGCGCGCGAGAGAGCGTTCACTCCCCACCTCTCCACGGGCCAAAGTACGCTTGGGTGAGGAGAGCCCGCGCTCATTGCGTCATCTTGCCGATAAGGCTTAAAACAAGATAGTTCCTCCCGGAGATGCGCGTCAACAGCGGTAAGTTGTAGATATAAATAGCTTGCCGTTTGAACGTCGGAAGAGGTACTTCTCCGTGGTTCAGTGGCTAACGCCTCTCATTCACGACTCGGTGGTCCCACGTTAGATTGCACTCGCTGGAGTAGTTTCTCAATTATTATTTTTTTCGTGCATATATATATATATATATATATATATATATATATATATATATATATATATATATATATATATATATATATATATATATATACACAGTGAGTGACGCTGATTGCTATTGAAAGAAAGATAGGGTGCGCAGGGGTGATCGTTGTTGCATGGAACAGCTAACGAGGGCAGGAAGAACGCGCAATGTTGGTCTCTAATTTTTCTAAACGAGTCGCTAGGCCCCTGGTCTGTCAGGCAGGTCAGTGCTTGCGCGATAACCTTATATTGCACGTGACTGCTCACTCATTTCTAGTAAAACACAGGCATAGCATCCAAATCTGATATGTGGGGTTTAACGTCCCAAAACCACTATATGATTATGAGAGACGCCGTAGTGGAGGGCTCCGGAAATTTCGACCACCTGGGGTTCTTTAACGTGCACCCAAATCTGAGTACACGGGCCTACATCATTTCCGCCTGCATTGGAAAGCATCCAAATCTGGACAGGTATGTCATGAATGTCGTGCTTTAAATATCATGGTCTTGCTGCTCTTGCGGTGGTTTCGTTCACATGACATATTGCAAAACTGGTATTGTACGACATGACTGCATGGCGAACAGAAGTTATGGGCCCTAACGTGAAAATCATGACATGCGTGTCATGTAAAAACATGACAACATGCCACGCTCATGATTATCTCACGGCCGTTTCGCTAGCTTCACATATATCAAATTTGGTATGACGTGGCGTGAATGGACGACGTCCAAAC